TTATTATTATTATTATTATTATTATTATTATTTTGATCAATAAAATATACAAATATATTAAGGACAAAAAGGAGGGCACCTGAGTGCATCTCAAAAGGTCAAGAATACATCCCAGACTCGAAAGGAACAAAGGCCATGATTACAAAAATCATAAAACAACCAACAAGAAAAGTAAAAAACCAGAATTGTATCATCATTAACCAAAATAACAGGAAAAAAAAAAAGAGAAAATACCAACGAAATTATACATAGAATAGGCAACTTGAATAAGCAGAGGATATAGGAACAGAGAGATGTACCTGTGGTCAAGAACACAAAGTACACCGCAGTGTCAACTCCAGACACGTCAATCACGTCCTTCTCCCTTGAAGACAACACTTCCCGAATCCACGCAAACGGATTGCGAGTGGAGGACCTGCTGTCAGCTGGATCCTTACCTCTTAGAATCCAATTTGGGTAGTACACAACAGCGTTCCCTGGCCTCTGCGAAAGCCAGGCGTAAAGCAGCATAAAAATGACAAAAAGGACGAAGGACGTCCCTAGGGACGTCAAAAAGGAACTGAAATCCATCTGGGTATGTACTCAAAATCCTTCCTTTCTCTTTTCTCTCTGTAGTTCTCACCCTGAAATGAATTGGGGTGTTTGTTTATAACTTTATAACGTGGAGGGAATGAAGAGTAGCCGTTAGAAACAAAAGAGGAAGGGTCTATATATAGAATGTGGGAAAGTGAAGTGATTGGGTAGATTGTGTTGGTTTTGATTTATCTACAGGGAAAGTATCTGGGAGCTAGCTATGTTCGTGGCAAAAACCAAATGGATTGCCCTTTAATTTAGGATTTTTGCCCCACAACGTACATCATAAGTATTTTTTTGCCCTCTAAATTTTCAATTTAAACCCCAGTTATATATGATTCTTTTTCATGGATTCAATGCTGAGAAAATTTCATGCATAATCGCATAGTAGGCAGGGAATTGCGTGTTTATCATCAAAGTCCGGGAGGAGTAAAGGAAAGAAAAGAAGAAAAAGATCAGGAAAAGGAAAAGAGAAGGAAATTGTGAGACAAGAAAGCGAGCCTACATATTCTGTAGTCTGTACACACAAGTGGTGTGAGAAACGAAGCTGAGTGTAAAATGTAAAGTCCTGTTGATGTAGGATCAGAGAGAAATAGATGAGAAGAAGTAAAGAATTAAGGAATGAGAAAGTTATCTCAATTCATTAAAACTAATTGTAATGTCTTAACAACACTATTTATTTGTTTTAAAATATCTGATTAATTTGTAGTATAATTTATAAAATTATCAAATTTACTAAATAAACTTGATTAAGTGCTTAAACTTCTTACGAAAATAACACTGCATAAACCGCTAGCAGCCATGAGGTAGTGCACCATCACGTGTTCTTTTGAGTTACTTCCCTAATCAAAAAGGAACCTGATCCACTAGTTAAAAAATTGAAAATATTATATTTACAATGATATGTTTATTTTAATCTTATAATTATAGCACGTAATTAATATGATTATTTTTTTATTTAAAATAATATATAATATTATATATATTTATTTATTTATTTAACAATATAAAATTTATTTTTTAAATAATTTAAATAATATAATTTATATCTCACTCCTCAATTTTAAATTTTAATATAATTTTATATATTATTTAAATAAATAAATGATTAATTAATTTAATATATATGATATTAAATTTATTTATTTATTTAACAATATATACAAATTATATTAAAAATTATAAAAAAATTATCCTATCTGATTGCTCAACTAACAGATACCAACATCATTCTCAACCTATGCCTTCTACGACTCCATCTGGCACCACGGGTTCCCGGACGTCCGTGTCCCAACGCCCCCGTTGAGCATATAGCGTAAATCTACCCAAGCGAGTGGGAATGGGGATGGGGATTTATCCATCTTAACCTAATTTTTACCTTTTTTCAATGAACAGCTACTCCTCCGTAATGGTTAATTTTAATTGAATGAATTATGGTTTAGTTTAGGAGTGTTAATTCGTAATTGTAGGTATTACACTTTTAGGTTTTTAATATCTTAAAAATATATAAAATATATTTAATATTTATTTGAATTAATATTTTACATATTTTTAAAATAATAAAAAATATAAAAATTAAAAATTATAATACTAAGAAGCAGTGTTGTCAAAATCACGATTTAAATCGTAAAATCGGCGATTTTACGATTTTAGGTAAGCATTTTTGGTTAAATCGTAGTCAAAATCAGAATTTTATGAAATCGGGAGGTAAAATCGTAAAATCGGATAAAATCGGATAGAATCTCGATTTTACCCTAGTTGAAGAAGCTGGACCATTTTTTCTTGGGCTAATGGGGTTTGACCCAACAACCCTTAAATTAAACCCATTTTTTATTTTAAAAGCCCACAACTACAACCCTCAACCGAACCCAACAACAATTGCAATCTCCAGTCCAGCCAACACATGCTTTTTTATTGGGCCACCT